TTTTTTTTTTAAAAAAAAAAAAAACCCCCCCCCCCCCCCCCCCCCCTTCGTGATACTTATCCTCTTCCAAGCAATAGCAATACATAACGAGTATATACTTTGAAAACACCTCAGCTATTTCACACCCATGACAACATATAATGTAACCCTCTCGTCTCATCTTAGACTTTTTTGGAGTAGAACCCTACAATCGTAATTCCAGTGCTTGGTATATATACGACTTGACCCGTAATCATCTACGAGCACTCGTGCATACGGGTACGTCTTGGGTATAAAAAAAAAAAAACCCCCTTTTAATATAAAAAATGAATAGATAAATAAATAAGAGTAAAACATCATCACTCTACTCCGTACAGTCTAATCTGTACCGACTACAGAACAGTCATACAATCACAATAACTATAATAACTATAATAAACTACTATACTATTACATTAATCACTATATAATTGTATATTTTATTTACAGTATATTACGGTTATTTACAGTATATTACGGTATATTACACTATATTACAGTATACATATGTGATGATGTGGTAAATCATGACGGAGAGTCTTTTTTTCTTCTCCCTCTCTCCCCCTCTGTCTCTTATTCTTTCTTTCCTTTCTTCTTTCTCTCCTTTCTTCTTTCTTCTTTCTCTTCCTTCTTCCTTCATTCTTCACACCCCCCCCCCGGAGTCATCCCCGTCATATTTTCAGCTCTCCTTTCCCCGACCTTGACATCCCTGCTAGTAAACTTGATGCCCATGTGTCCACCCGTTGTCATTCTTTTCTTCTTTCCTCTTTCCTTTCCTTCTTTTTTCTCCACTCTTTTTCTTTTCTTTTTTCTCTTGATTCTCTTTTTCTTTTCTTCTTCTTCTTCCTCCTCCTCTTCTTTTCCTTCTACCTCACCCCCTCTACACCTTCACGAGGGTGATACAGAGACCCGAGGCCCCTGCTTCCACGTTGAGTAAACATGATGAACTGCGACAAGAATCCACCAACCTACAGGAAGACAACACGTGCTTTTCCGTCACGGGCCCAGAGAAAAAAAGAACCAATTATGCATATCGTAATATCATTTTCAAGAGAGAGATGTAGGTCGAGACCATCCGAGTGATACGCATCTCCGACTCCACGTTTTCCCTATAATCTCCCCCCCCCCCCCATCAGTAACCAATGCAGACTTTCAGAGCTGAGTTGTGATACATGTGATATTATATAGCCTAATAATCTAATGCTCGTGTCTATCCATTTACTCTAATCATCCATTCGAGCTGGGTCTGGGTCTCATGGACAGACACATGTGAGATGCAACCTCGTCAGCTACACAGGGTTCTCAATCGGACGGCATGGCAAGATGCATATACATTCTCTCTTTTTTTCCTTGCTTTGATTATATTAGAAGCATACTTATTGAACAAGAAACAAAAAACCTAAGAATAGCAACAAGAATAAGAAACCTTGCAAAAAAAAAATGATATGCCAAACTGTTTCTTTGTGTGTGTGTGTGTGTGTGCAATTTTTCTTCTTCCTCTTCACATTCTTTTTTCCTTTTTCATCCCGCTCAAAACAAATCGAAGGGAAACAACAGGAGGGAGGGGGTTGAAGGAGAGTGAGGGGGGAGGGAGGGGGTGCTGAAAAAGCATGATACCTTCATGTGCTTGTAAAATAAGAAAAATAAAAAATAAAAGAGAAAAAAAAGAAGAGAGAGAAAAAAGACACCCGTGAAAGTCAAGCATACAGAGTTACAGCCGGCTTTCAATACCAGCAAAGTGGCTGTCAGCCGCCCAGTCAGAGTCAGGCCAGACCAGACGAATCGCTTCCCATATGTGGCTGGGGAGATTTTAAGTTAGTCGTCAGTAAATGTCGCATTCTTCTTCTCAGAGGGAGGGGGAGCGAGAGCGAGGGGGAGGGGTGTGTTATTAGGATAGTGACAAGGAATCGAGAGCTGAGTGGAGTGAGAGGAGAGAGAGTGAGGAGAGTGTGTGTGAGAGAGAGGAGATAGAGATAGAGAGGAGATGGAGAGAGGAGATGGAGAGAGGAGATGGAGAGAGGAGATGGAGAGAGGAGATGGAGAGAGGAGATGGAGAGAGTGAGAGGAGAGAGAGGAGAGGAGAGGAGAGGGAAAAAAAAAAGACGGAAAGAAAACATACCCGATGTGAAGAATCTCAAGACCATCCTTAACCTCCTGAGGCAGATCCTTGACATCCTTTCGGTTCTGAGCAGGAAGGAGGACAGTCTTGACTCCGGCCCGGAGAGCGCCAATCAGCTTCTCTTTGATTCCCCCGACCGCCGTGACCCTTCCACGGAGAGATATTTCGCCCTAGAGATTGAACGAGTAAGAAAGAAAAAAGTTAGTCTTCTTCTGCTGTTACATCGACGAGGGGAAACCTTCGAGACGAGTCTGTGATGGTGAGCTTTGAGTATCCGGCACGTACCGTCATCGCCATGGTCGGCGGCACCGGCTTCCCCGAGAAGAGGGAGATGAGCGCGATGGCCTGCCCGATTCCGCTGCTGGGCCCGTCCTTGGGTATCGCCCCGGACGGGCAGTGGACGTGGATGCTCCTCTCCTTCATTATGTCCGCCGACGGCTCCGACGTCAGACCCAGCTCGTACGCGTGAGCCTTGACCCACGTCAGCGCCACCTCGACGCTCTCCTTGAGCACGTCGCCCAGCTTGCCCGTCAGCTGCACCCGTCCGCTGCCGGGCATGTCCGCCACCTCGATGAAGAGGATGCTGCCGTTGCCGCCCGACGAGTACGCCACCAGGCCCGTCACGATGCCCGGCCGGCTCGTCGTCTCCGCAATCTCCTCCTCGAACCGCTCGCTGCCCAGGATGTTCTCGATGTCCTCCACCGTCAGCTCCTGCCTGTACTTCTCCAGGCTGCCCGAGTCCCTGGCCTCGGCGAACTCGACCGCCTTGGCCCGGCACACCGACCCGATCTCGCGCTCCAGGTTGCGGACCCCGGACTCGCGCGTGTACGACTCGATAATCTTGGACACCACGTCCTGCGTGAACGACACCTGCTCCACGCCCAGCCCGTTGGCCTGCACCTGCTTCGGCACCAGGTGCTGCATGGCGATGTGCCGCTTCTCCAGCGTGGTGTAGCCCGGGATGTAGATGGTCTCCATCCGGTCCAGCAGCGGCGCCGGTATCGTGTCCAGCGAGTTGGCCGTCGCGATGAACAGCACCCTGGACAGGTCGATCGGCATTCCGACGTAGTGGTCGTGGAAGTTGTGGTTCTGCTCCGGGTCCAGCACCTCGAGCATCGCCGCCGAAGGGTCACCGTGCATGCTCGCCACGCCCACCTTGTCGATCTCGTCCAGGAGGAAGACCGGGTTGGCCACGCCCACCTTGCGCAGGCCCTGGACGATGAGGCCCGGCATCGCCGCCACGTACGTCCTCCTATGTCCGCGGATCTCGGCCTCGTCCCTGACGCCGCCCAGCGAGATGCGGTGGAACTTGCGTCCGAGGGCGTTGGCCACCGACTTGGCAAGGCTCGTCTTGCCAACACCAGGCGGTCCAACCAGCAGCATGATGGGCGACTTGTCCACCTTGCGCTGCGACCTGAGCATCTCCAGCTTGGCCGCCGAGTCGGCGCCCTGGGCACCGTCCTGCCCCTCCGAGTTGGAGGAGCTACCTTCCTCCTGCGCCTTCTGGATCTTCGCATCCAGGCCGTCGTTGATGGACTGCTTCAGCCTGAGCACGGCGAGATACTCGATCAGCCTCTTCTTGACCTTGTCCAGGCCGTAGTGGTCCTCGTCGAGCTGCTTCCGAGCCTTCTTCAGCGTATCCGGCCCGAGCCGGTCGTCGGTGATGGCCGACCAGGGGATCTCGGACAGGATCTCGAGCCAGTTTCTCGTTACCTGGTACTCCTGGTTCATGGGCATCATCTTCTGAAGACGGCGCAGCTCGCGGTCCACCATCTTGGACGCCTCGGCCGGAAGCTTGGCCAGCTGCAGCTTGTTCTTGAGCTCATCCAGCTCGCTGGCGTCCTGGTCGTTGTTCTGATCGTCCCCGCCGCCGTTGTTGGCCGCCTGGCCCTGCTGAGAGACGAATGTGATTCCCGGGATGTTGGGCAGCTGGTTCTGCTTCCTCGAAGGGTTCTCGTCGAGCCTATCCAGGATCTGGATAGGCACAGAGGTAAAGGTCGTAATCTTGAAGTTGTTCTTGATGCCCCCGACCTGGCGTTCGAGGAGCTCAATGACCTTTGTGATCCTGACCTTGACATCGAGAGCAGCCAGGATCTCGAGCTTCTCTTCGTGGGACGTCTCGATCAGGTTGGCCATGAAGTCGGCGAGGAGGCCGGCATCCTTGAACTCCCTCCGCATGATGAGCATCTCTAGGCGCTTTGTAATCGAGGGAGAGAGGGGAGGTCCGCCCTTGGTCCTGGGAAGCAGGGCCGATATGCGGAGGATGGTGACGAGTTCACGAGATCGAGTCTTGAGGAGAGCAAAGAGGTCGTGGAGCTGCTTATCAGATGCGTTGACTGTAGCCCGGGTTTTCATGTTAGCAACCGATGCGTTCCGATTTTTACCCAATGGGAGCTGGTGGGACTAAGGTAAGGCGGCGAGATGCATACCCTCATCAGTAAAGTAGGTGATGGCGCCGTGAAAGAAAGGACGATCCTGCTTGATGTCATCGACCCTGATGCGAGAGGTGCCCTCGACCCTCAAGGCGAACTCGCCCTGGCCGCGGCCATCGATACCGACGATGCGAGCGGCGACACCAAAGTTGTAGAGGTCCGCCTTGTTGGCGCTTCCGGGGTTGACGTTATCAAGGGTCGAGCTGTCGACTTCCTCGCCGTTGCTGATGAGGAGCTGGCCGTTGGGGCTCACGTGGGGTGAGCCGATCGGCACGCAGGCAATGGGGACCGAGTCTACGCGGGACTCGGGCCCCTGTGTGGCAGCACTCTCGTAGACATGGGCGAGCAGGGCAGGGATGTCGGGTCGGCTAGAGGTGACGCTTATCCTCTGGACGAGTCCGGGGAGGAGGACGCTTCCTCTCGGAAGGGGGATAATGGGCAGAGCAGCTGTCTTCTGCCGCACCATGACTAGAGTCGTTGATGCAGACTGTGTGTATGCGTGTGTCGGTCAAGAAGCGGAAGTTGACCGCCGCCTAGATAGAAGGTATTGTGGTTGAATGGAAGTGTGTTGTTGATGAGGGGGTTGGGAGCGGACTAGAGTCGGGAATTCGGTGAGTCGTCGAGGCCCAAAGCGAAGAAGCCCAAGGGGAGTGAGGTTGAGATGAAGTGGCCTTAGCGCCGTCAAAGTGTTCTAGAGTACTGTAGGTACCGCCTAGCAGATGGAAGGATGGAAGGAAGGATGGAAGGATGGATGGAAGGATGTATTCAAGGATTTGGAAAAGAAGCGGTGATGGCGTGTTTGTTTTGTTTTGATGAATGCAATATTTATGCCAACGTTTTGAGGGGGAGGAGGATAAGGGGGCCAAAGGAGGATTGGGAGTGGATGGATAAAACGAGTGACGCAGCCGATGTCGCCGCTGCTCACTGGATAGTTGACCTGTACAGCGTCTGCCCCCATCTGCCGAGGCTAAATACGTAGAGCACAGCACTCACTGAGTGAAGAGAGGATGGATGCCCAGTTCTGCAAGTCTTATGCGCGATAAATCATCTATTACGGCGTAGAGCGTATAACCTACACACAATTCGCTGGCCATTTCCCGTATGCTGCTTTGCGATAGATATTCCACCGCCTTCTATGCTGTCTCTCTGACTGACAACCATGACGATTGATGCCGCCCGCCCCCCCACGGGCCATGTGACCCCAGCATTAGCAGAGCCGGGGTAGTTTTCCGTTTGCACGTGCTCACCGGAAAACTCGGTTCCGGGGGTTGCAAGTGTAGGTATTATTATATTATGTACGCGGTGCATGTTCTTGTCATCCCATCGACACTATTTATCAATTGATAAGGATGTCATGGTTAAGTCACTTCCCGCAAGAGACGGGACGCTCTGCTTACGACGATCCCTCGGATGGTACAGAAGACAGACACTAGAAACCGTTGAGCATGAGCCTCGTATGAAACCTGTTGCGGCTTGACAGGGCTGTGGCTGGATAAACGAGGCAAGGCCGCAATGGAGAGAGTCCAGATGACTCAGCAACGAGGAACAGAAAAGCGCCACAATCGCGGGGAAGAAACCACCACTAAAGCCGCCGTCAATTAAACCGTGACGCGCCTCACGCGTCCCCCACCCACCTGGACCTCAGCTTCATCCACGCAATATTCCTCTACAAACCGCCACCATGTGTACATTTCTCCCTCCTCCTCCCCCTCCGTCTCGTTCTGTGTGACCTGTCTAACTCTACCATCGCAGCTGCATACGGTGGTTATTCTACGACGGGCGACGAGTCTGGCGGCTACTTTGCCGGTGGCTCTCAGCAGGGCAGTCAGGGCGGCGGTGGTGGCAAGGTACGCTGACTTCTCTTCATCCGGTTCTCTTCCCAATCTCCTTTTATATACTTCTCTCTCCCTTCCATCTCAATCTCTCCTACAAGACAAAAAGAGGCCTGCTCCTGGATCTGACACCTCTCTCTCTCTCTCCCCAGAACTACCAGGATGAATCCCTACGGCCGGTGACTGTGAAGCAGATCCTCGACGCCGAGGAGGCCTTCAACGGCGGCGAATTCAAGATCGACAACCAGGCGGTGACCCAGGTGACGGTGGTCGGTCAGGTCAACAACTTCAAGCAGCAGCCCACCAACATCACCATCACCTTGGATGACGGCACGGGTCAGATCGACGTCAAGAAGTTCATCGACGTTGACAAGCAGGACGAGGCGTCGAATCCCGGCTTCCAGATTGGCTCCCACGTCCGCGCCTGGGGTCGTCTCAAGTCGTTTAGCGGCAAGCGCTACATCAGTGCCCACCTCATCCGCCCCATCTCCGACTTCAACGAGGTCAACTATCACATGCTAGAGGCCACGTATGTCCACCTCTTCTTCACTCGCGGGCAGCCCGGTGCCAACGGCGCTGGCGGTGACGGCATGTTTGTGGACGGTGGCGGTGGTGGTGCTGGCGCTGGTGCTGGCGGTGACTCCAACCCCGTCATCTCAGGCAAGCTGTCTGGCTGCACGCCTGGTGCCAAGCGCGTGTACAACTTCATCACCAACGCCCCCGGGGGCAACGAGGGCGTCAACATCAACATCATCACCAACGGGACTGGCATGTCAGTGCGTGAGGTCTTAACTGCGTCGGATGAGCTGCTCGGCACTGGTCTGATCTACACGACGATGGATGACGAGACTTGGGCTGTTTTGGAGTATTGAGAAGCAATATATATATATATATATATATGGTTTTACATGAAGAAGATATGATCTGTTTTCACACACACACACACACACACACTTTAAGGTCTCTTTTTCTTCTTCTCTTTTCCCTTCCTATTTCCATGGCATGTAGACGGGGCTCACTGGCAATGTTCGACAAAAGAAAAATGTATGTATGTGGTCTAGGCCACTCGGCGCTACTAGATATTACTAGATATCACAATAAAAGCAATCTGATGAAAGCAAGGACGAGAGCAAAACGCTCATGGCTCGGTACAATCTGGCTCTCACTCAAGCGAAACAAACTAGAAAGTTGCACATCGCTTAACTCATGAATGGGCAAAGGCAGAGAGGGCAATTCGGCCATGTCCGGAGACAAACCTCTCCTTCGCTTCTCGAAGCAACCCTAGAGCTAGGCATTCTCCTGGGACGAGGCAGTCGACAAGTCAGCCATTATGGGGTAAGGTTGGGCTTCACGGACCATGATGCCAAGCTTGACGGGTTCCCTCCCACGAGGGAGAGCAATCTCGTCGACGACACGGAAGCCAAACTTTTCGTACAAGGCATTGCTGGCGAGGGAGCCAGACTCGAGATACATGACGTGATTCTTGTCGTCAGCCTACTAGAAGTGTCAGGACATACTCCGGAACATAAATATATATATATCCATGATCAGAAAGAGATGGAAGAAGGAAACGCAAGATGTGACGGTGGCATTATAAGAAGAATCACCCGAAAAATGTAATACAATAGTACAAAAATGTGTTTTCCCCATGATAGTAAATATAAATATATTCAAGAGAAGAAAAAAAAAACCCCACCCTCGACACCAATCTATAAGCCGGCTGGCATACCCACAACCTCGAGCAAGGGGCAGAGTGCCCACATACACGAGATAATAGCATTGTTCGCTCCGAGATCCTATTATGCGATCCTTGGTCCGGTGCAAGAGAGGTAACACCTCGGAAGAGTACCGCACGCGCGCCTCCTCTGGTAGTCTGAGATACAGCGACGCTATGCCGCTGCGCAGCATGGTCCACCACCCGTCCGTATCTGTACCTGGAGGGGACCTGTGTCGTGGGTTTCGTTCCACTCCTCATCACGTTGCATCGTCAGTCATATAAAACCATACAACGAAGCAATAAGAACTCTTCTACCCCACCTCCACCCGGGAAACGAGCTGTACTACCAGATAGCCAGGGCGTCGTAGCCGGGACCGATGGTCGTCACCAGGCCGGCGTGAGCGTGGGATGCCCACGACTGTCGTCATGAGGGAGACATGGAGGTCCCATTTCTTCTGCTCCTCGGAGAGGCCGTCCAAGATATACAGGCTCAGTGGGTCCGTGACGAACGAATTGGCGAGAGAGGTCCCCGCCACGACACTCTCATCGATGTTGACGGTGCGTACGGCATCGAGATCCCACGCCGACGGTGACAGGGTTGTCTTGCCCGCGGAACTTGCTTCCTTGCTCGCTTGGTAACTCATGGTTGTGTTTTTCGAGGGGAATAGTAACGATTATCCTGCGAGGCTGTCGTCTTGTGTGAATCTCGTCGATTGGTGGCTATCATCGATGGGGAGATGCAGGAGATCGACGTCAATGTGTGTTGGAAAAGGGAATGATAGCAAAAAATGGGCTTTAAGATTACCTTTTTTTTTTTTTTTTAAAAAAAAAAAAGTTAGAGAGAGAGAGAGAGTTCAGAACGTTCCTCTGTTGATCACCTTGAGCGGTAATGTCGAACAAAACTGTGTGTGATGATTGAGGAAGAGGTTTGCAGACTTGACAGAGAAAACAGACATGGACCATCCCATGGCATACTCACCGGGGATACTACTAAACATATTTCCTAGAACAAGGCCGAGTGTTCGTCACACGTCCTTCCGTCACACTGAGCTGCAAAGAAGTCTGCATTGGGGAGGTAGAGGCGATTCACGTACATAGAAATATACACAACCTGTTTTGTTCGGAGAGGGCGAACCAGGTATCGTACGACAACGCCAACCATTTCTTTTTCTTCGGTTTCACATCAACCTAGGGACGGGTACTGTAAACCGTAGATAGGGACCGAATCACGACGAAAGGCTACGGCTACATAGAGATAGTATACGTGATGGTGGGTGATCCTGTTGGACTTATAGTGTTACCACCAGCCCCCCTAAAGTCCTTTCCGTATGCAATGCAGGCCATCATACGGGACAATCATGTTCGGTTACAAGGCATTGAGGCTACCATATCACTCTCCATTACCTTGCGGCTAACTGGAGGTTCTGCTTCAATCGAATGCGCCTTCTGCATTGGGGTTACATCGCCACGCTGCTTATCGCCGATGCCGACAACTCTTGCCGTTGACGAGGACACGGAAGAAAACAAGAGGGTTTCGAAAGAATAGCATAGGTAAGCATACACGTAGCCCGCTTCCTTGAATCGGAAAAAAAGAAAACTTTCTAGGTATGAGGGGGAAAATGGTATCTCTATGCAAGCCCGAAGCAGACAGAATAACGCTGGCAGCCTTGGTGCAACGACAACAATCCTTTGTATTTATGTTTCTTCTCGTTGGAAAAAAGAAAAGCAGACGTGACGTTGTGGGTGACTTCCTTTCCAAATTAATGAGCCTCTTTCTTTCTGCTCGCTCTCACAGTTCTCAGTCCTTGACGACAGCAACCCTCTCACATGCGGCGAATGTCCGTTTCGCCGAGGTAGGCGTCGAGACCAGAGTCGAGGTGCTCCCACCACTCAAAGAGCATAGTGTGGCAGATGAGCTTGAACCAGGGCGTGAAGGTGAGGCTGGGGTCATCGAGCTGCTTTTTGAGGCTATCAGGCGTGACGTACTGGGTGGCCTGGACTTCGTTCTCGTTCGGGTGGACGTCAACTTTGGCCTTGATGAAGAGTATGTAGTCGACTAACAACAAGACACGCAAAGTTAGCCATACGTCTCCCTCCCTCCTCCTCTCCAACTTTTTTTTTTTTTTTTTTTGTATTTTTGCTCAGAGGGAAATCGGGTCATTCACTCACTCTCGTGCTCTCCCCACTTTCCGTCGCTGGGAGCCTTGTAGTGGATACGGGTGAGGAACTTGAACTTGTCAATGGGGACCTGATCGTTCTTGATGCCCAGTTCCTGGTCGAGCTTGCGCTGGGCGGCGCGCTTGGCACCCTCTATGGCCTCGGGAAGCGTGGATCCCGTCTCGCCAGAAACGGCCAGAGGGTGAGAGCAGCAGGTGTTAGTCCACATGTCGGGGAATGTGATCTTCTCCGAGGCACGCTGCTGGAGGAGGAGCTCGTTATTCTCGTTGAACAGGAAGACGGAGAAGGCACGGTGGAGGAGACCCTTGTCAATGTTGGATATGAGGTGGCCTTTATTCACGCGAGAGCCATGTCAGTCGATTCCCATGCGCGCGCGTGCACTCCGAAGAGGGAAGAGCGGTGGAGGATGGAGAATAGGGCAAATACAAATCTTCTTGCTGGCCTTGCCGATGGGTGCATCGTCGTAATCCAGGACGATACAGACCTCGTCCATCAGACGGATCTGCTCCTCATCGTGACCGTCGAGGGCCTCGGAGCTCGTGTCGATGTCTGGGAAGAGTCGCAGCAGGGTGTCGGCCGTGATGGTCTCGGCCGTCGTGGTGACGGTTGTCGTCGACATGGTTGCGGGTGTCGCTGTGTTTCTATCGCCAGGAGAGTAGGTGGGAGAGCCACTGGGCTAATGCGGTCGGGATGAGAGCTTATATATAGTATACAAGATATATATATATATATATGTATACCGGTATGGTAAGAAAGAAAAAGATATCGGGCCTGCCCCAGGTCTAAACTGTAGACGGAAAGTGAGAAGTGAGAGAGAGAGAAAGAAAAGAATGGGCGGCCCCCCTGGTTTGTTATGCCCCTCCAAGAAGAGAAGCTTTGTTACCTCTCCATATTGGATGGATGGCGAGAGACTAAGAGGGGAAGGTCGACAAAATAGTCGCACAAGAATGGACCGATAACAGCGTTGTAGTTGCAGGGATTATTTTGATCATCCTCTCATTTACTAAACCGGGGGCTCAATCAGAGGTTCTCGGCCTCCACGATGAGATTATGTGTGGTTACCTATCACCCTAAATGACCTCAACGAGGACTCTTGTCACAACTAACATATGAAAATCAACTATTGATATTGCCCCCTTTGCGTCAATCTGCATTTAAAATCTAGCCAGTCTTGGGACGCACCGGGTCACACCAAACACAGCCCCTCACGGTACTAACCCCCTATATGCATCAATACAGTATTATCACTATATCCCACCATCTCAACAGGTCACGCCCCAATCGGGAGAACCGCCAAGCCAGAGCATAGAGAGTTTCGTCACTGACACCTCGACGTTGCTCCATTAGCCACGGCGGCGACAGAGTCACCACCACCAGCATTTACAATCATCAGCTCGCCTGTCGATCTCTTCCCTTCCACGCTGGCTCGGGTTACTCTACAGAGACATCAACTACCACACATTAGGAGGTATTCACTATTACTCATTGTCCGAATCCGCCCGCGGCCTCTCTCCTCTCCCTACCCCTGCGACAACGACAGCTTGCCTCCCGACGCCGCCGCCGACGCCGCCGCCAACCGACCGAGCTCCCGTCATGGCCCCCAAGATTGAGGCCCAAGAGGTCGAGACGTACTGGAATATATTCTCTTCAAGGACTGGAGGTGGAAAGTACCTCACGGGAGAGCAGGCTGCCCCCGTCCTGAAGAACAGTGGACTGCGTGACGACCAGCTCGAGCGCGTGTGGGATCTAGCAGACGTGGACAATGATGGAAATCTCGACTTCGAGGAGTTTTGTGTGGGAATGAGGATAATCTTTGACATACTCAACGGGGTACGTTTTATGCGCCCCCACCCCCAACGCCCCTCGTCCTCTGGGCCCCTTCCCTCCCTCTCCCCTCGGATATGGAAGACTAATGCAGTTCTTTTCCGCGTGCCAATAGGAGTATGTCGATGTTCCACCCGTCATCCCCGACTGGCTGGTACCGGAGTCAAAGGCCCATCTGGTTCAGGCCAGCCGGGCTATCACAGGGAAACAGACGCAGTTTGAGCGGGTCGAGGACGAATCGGATGACCAGGGCCTCAAGGATGGCTTCGACTGGTACATGAAGCCTGAGGACAAGGCCAACTACGACCAGATCTACCAGGAGAACCGGGACATGCGTGGAGAGATCTCTTGTGGGTGTTGAACTTTTCTGTCCATCATCTCTGTCTACCAGAGTAACCAGCCTATACATTCTCTTTTTATGCTGACTGACCTTCGATCACCCAGTCGCCGCCCTAGAGGGCTTATACGAGTCCCTCGACGTTCCCGACACGGACATCCGGTCGGCGTGGAACCTGATTAACCCCTCGGCGTCGTCAACCATCAACAAGGACGCGTGCCTGGCCTTCCTGCACATCCTCAACAACCGGCACGACGGGTACCGCATCCCGCGGTCGGTGCCGGCGTCGCTACGCTCCAGCTTCGAGCGCAACCAGATCGACTACCAGATCGACAACCAGCGGACGTCGCGCTGGGCCACAAAGGCCGACGACTCGACGAGTACGGGGCGCAAGACCAAGTTCGGCGAGCAGTACCTCACGCGCCTGGGCCGCAGCGGCTTCAAGACGGCCGGCACCGACTTCTCCACCGAGAAGACCGAGGACTGGGAAGAAGTCCGCCTCAAGCGCCGCCTACAGGACCTCGAGGACAAGATGCGCAAGGTAGAGGAGATAGCTGAGCGCAGAAAGGGCGGCGCCAAGCGCGACACCAAGCCCGCCCTCGTCAAGAAGGAGCTTGACCAGCTCCTCGACTACAAGCGCCGCCAGCTGCGCGAGCTCGAGGACGACTCCGGCGCCGACTCTGGCGGCGGTAACCTCAAGACCATCTCGGACGATCTCCAGACCGTGCGCGAGCAGGTCGACGGCCTCGAGGCCCATCTCGCATCACGGAACCAGGTTCTCCAGGAGATTCGACATGAGATTGAGGTAGCAAAGTCTAGCTGAGGGACGCATAGTGTGTTTCTAATTTTTTCTTAGTCATAATATTGTTTTTGCTTTTTTGTGTAATAGATACGTTTGTTCTTATTTGCATGTTATTCTTTTGCTATATTACAGATGCTCTCTATACTTTTTTTTTTTTCATTTCTCCCCCCCGGTCGACCGGAGCTGGCGCCTTGAGCCTGCTCGTCGCAGGAGGGTTGACCGTCCCTTGGTTCGAACGTGTCTCTGATTATCATTATTATTATTATTATTATCATACGCCGCTGACCCTTATGCCATACTTTTCCACTGTTGTGGTGGTCGAGAAAGCAGAGCTGTCCCGTGTGGTGTCTTTATGAGAACAAATACTATAAACACTTCTAACTTACATTCGGATAGTAGGTTAGGTGTTATGTAATGTTAAGATCCTCGTCTCTCATTCTTTTTTTGTTCCTTTTTTTCTTTATGTGAGGGAGAGATCTCGCTTTTCTGTGGTTCTTGACGTTGCACTTGGTAGATTCTCGCTATGTCCATTGCCGCGATGACCTTAGAACTCGATACGACGGCGAACTGGATCTTGGCGCTTTTGGGCGCTCTCTTTGCCGACTTTAACTCGCTCCGCTATTTCTCGTGCCAGCGTAGGCCGAGGCGGGCGATTCGTCCCCACGGGCGTGTCAACGAACGTGTTCCTTGCCTGCTGTTGACTGGGCTGGGGCGCGTTGGTTCTGCTGCGTTCCCTGTCTATCCGCTTAGTGATGTCGCCGACATCTTTGTTAAGACGCCTCGCTAGATCCGCGAGGTCCTTGGCCAGTTTCTTGACATCTTCTGACATCTTTCCCGTGTCCTTTGTCATTCGCATCGTTCGCCTCAAACTTGCGCCGGCAAGCGGCTTCGAGTTCCTTGATGGCGGTGTCATCCCGCGCACTTTGCTTCAGGTGCGCCACCTCTACTGCGAGGTTCTGCACTATCAAGTCCACGCCGACGGGGTTTGCGCTGACCGCGGCAGCAGGCATCATGGTAGGGAGCCTAGGACCCACCGCGTCCGACAACAGGGAGAGGCGTCACCCATGTTCCTCTCGTCTGCCTCGGCTCTGCGCGCAGCAGCCGTCTGAGCTCGACGGACTGGCGTGGTGTTCGAAGGCGTGGACAGGATACCCGAGGCAACGGCGCGATGTTAGAGTCACAAGAACATCGGACGAACTCCTGACCAACGGATCGTCATCCCCCAAGGCGGTGGGCCTCCTGGCCCGCCCGCTTGGGAGTCTGAAGCCTGGTCTTCCCGACTGGTCCCGTCGCCCTCGTTGTCGTGAGCCTCGCATGAGCCGAGTCCCCTTCCCCATGGGCTTTGGGGCCGCCACAGCCGTAGGCGTGGGAGAAGCCGTGGAGACGGCAGACCGCCAGGGGTGGGGGCCGGAGGCTCGGCAGCGAGTTTTCCGTTTCTATATTACAGACGGAAAATTTGCCAGTCAGAAGTTCAAATGATATATCAAAGCTATGCATACCTCTCCCCTCTGGGTTTCCCAGTGAACAGACGCCATCATGCCCCCAAGCCCATCCCTCGTCCCACACCGAATCGAGACTGGAGGCTGGTGTCTTCCAGCCGTGGTTCATGGAAGCCTGACGAATGTGGAGAGGAAGTCTTGAGTTCTACCGGTTTGCCGCAGCCCCTTCGGTGACAATGATGGCCGGATGAGACCCCGGGGGAGGGCACGTTTCTTCCCAGCCACGTGAACGGCGTATGCGACAGAGACGGTAGTGAGATCCGTGGAGGGGGGGGTGTGGAATGGGGACAGGCGGCCTTGATCGGTGTTTATCTGGCACACCACTCCGAAAGTTCGTAAGGGAAAGTGGCCGGATTCCCTGGTGGCCTTCCTGGGTGAATGTGACCTTGGAACTCCAGCGTTGTACCTTGTGTGATGCGCCGCCCTCTCCCACTGCCGGGGACCATGTTCTGGCGACGATCTCGCATCTTCCGACACAGCCGCCCATCATAGCACCCCGTCTGCTTTCAGGGTATGATGGCACCAGACGAAATCGTCAGCCAGAGAATCGCGAGTCTCGACGGGGTCACGGCCGCAGATGTTGTGACCCACCCACGGGTGATCATGTGATGGCAGCCAAACACGCACACATCTGAGTTTTCCCCGCATTCGTAGCTAGAGATCATCAGCATCATCACTTCTGTTGCCTCGTTTTGGACCGCATCCTGCCGTATTCCACAGTTCCACCGCAGATCTCCATGGCATCGACGCGGTAAGCATCCAAGGCAGGCTACAGAGAAAACAGTCAGAAAAGCGGCAGACAGATGTCACAAAAACAACCGACAACATACCTGATCGGGGCCGTCGTCGTACACGACAAGCTGAAGTAGGAACCGGCCAGTGTGCCTGTCAAGCCCGACGAGGGGCACACGAGGGATCCGGGCCACGCGGCAAGAATAACGCTTGGTACTCGAGCCTACCCAAACCGTCAACAAAGACGAGAGGAAACTCTTCCCTCGGAAACTCTTCCCTCGGAAACCTCTCTGCCTGGATCTGGTTCTGCTGCACTCCCGGCAATTTGACCATGACTGGGTCCGGCGCGAGAGGCGACCTTGCATCCGAGAGTGGATACACACCGGACCCCGATCGCCACCCATGATGGAGTCGATCCCGTTGACTTGTGTACAGTAGCGAGCGCCGTTACCACGATCGAGGATATGGTTAAACGTCCCACTTAGATTTGATCCCATACAGGACTAGGCCGACGGCTGAAGGGACGCGGTCCTGCTGGGGTGGTGCAGTCCTCCTAGGTCTCTTGGGAGCAGGGGCCTCCTCCTTGTTGGGTCTTGGTATGCCCATAGGGACGGGGCACCTTCTCCGGTGGGTGTTTCCATCATCCTGTATTTTGGGGGGACTCGTCATCCTCGGAAAGACGACGTTTACCTGGTATCTCTAGACCAGGAGGTGGGAATCCATCTCCAAGGCTTCAATTCAGTCTTGACAAAACGGCCCTCCCACCCCCCCCTCCTTTGGCTTTGAGGACTCAACGCTGCTGGGAAACGGTGAGTTAGGTCCCTCTGATATATATATATGTATGTATGTATGTATGTTTAACAGGAGTAAACGTGTCGACGTGAGCTGTGCCCTCCAAGCGGAATCATGGCTCTCAAGGAGAAGAGGGTGGGTTGACAGTTGATGTATCTCTCGGGCGATTGAAGAGGGGTGAGGGGGGAGGGGTGAGGGGGTGTCTGCAAGTATTCATGGTTGATGATTATAACAAGGTAGATTTGATGAGCTGTCATTGTCCGACGACACGGCAAGACTGCGTCTCAACAGTATCAGCATGCTGCATGGCTGATATCGGGTACACAGTTTCTGTACTGCGTGGGACGAGGTCGTATTCGACGGTGACGAGCGTCACCATCGGATATCTACATGGCCTCTCATCCGTCTCTGTCTGTGTATGACTAAGAAGCACGGAGTTGTACGTTGGGCATCTCACCGCTGGGAAATAGCGTGTGTTGGTTTGTGTTGTGGTGTGTCGAGTTAGGAAGCTGTCATAATATGCCAGACACAGACAGACCCGTAGCTTGATTTTTTCTTCTTCTGCTTCAGTGTTGCCCCTCATTTTATTTTATTTTATTTTATTCTTGGTCGGTTCCCGAGAACCCCCGCATTTACAGTCATCATCATCAGCTCTCTCTCTGTCCCTCTCCCTCCCCTCCCCTCCCCAACAAACCAGGCCACTCTCTCCTCGCCCCATCGTCATATTCTCTCCCCCTCCTTTCTCTCTCGAACCCCTCCATCACCAACCAACCAACTCCATCATTCCAACCCTTTTTTTTCCATCCTTTTCCTATTATAACCTCTCTCTCCCCCTCATTACCAACGCAAACATTCCCCTCTACATCCATCCGTTGCTCATACACAATTTAACTGCCCATCATGAGTGCTTTCGACAAGGCCGTCAACGACTCTAAGAAGCTCACCTCCAAGCCCAACAACGACGAGCTTCTCGAGCTCTACGGTGTGTTCCCCCCCCCCCCCCCCCCCCGGGTACTTTTGCGCATAGAATGTCTGTCGCTTCTTCCGTATCCGATGCTAATCTGACACCTACCCCAGCTCTCTACAAGGTCGCTTCCGGAGATGACATTTCCAAGGCCCCTGCCCCCGGCATGTTTGACATCAAGGTACGATTCTTACCCATCCGGGACGACCAGATGAAAGAAAAAAGAAGGAGAGAAGAAGAAGAAGAGGAGGCAAACAACAGACAGACAACCCTCATGAGAAGCAACAAGATTACACAAGGTGTTTGGGGGAGGGAAGGAGGTTGGAAAAGAATGAGAATGATGACGGCGAAAGAAGAAGAAGGAGAAGACAAAGATTTCAACAGAGCTAACACAGAGGGGGGGGAAACAACAGGGCAAGGCCAAGAAGTCCGCCTGGCAAAAGGTGGTGGACGAGGGAATCACTGCCGACCAGGCCAAGGAGCGCTACGTCGCTCTGGTCGAGAAGCTCAAGGAATCGTACGGATACGACGAGTCCAAGGAGCCCGAGGTCGTCGGTGCTTAAAGGGTGAATAGAATCAGCGGCAGCAGCAGCAGCAGCAGCAACAGTAGTAGCACAGAAAGCATACGACAGCAGTAGCAACGGCATGAATGCATACACGAAATGACGGATACCCGAACCGACCAGAAAACAAAAGAAAGAATAAAAGTTCCCCTAAATAAACTTGCTTTTACAAATTTCCTGGACTCTAGTCCTCTTAACGTAGCATCTATAGATATATCCTTCTACTGATGCTAGTATTTCAAGTCAGGACATTCATTGTAGGTGATCAACCTACCTCTCGACTTCTTCGCATCCAGACATTGTACATGAATGAGATGTCAAACTCGTGCTGTTCCTGTCTGTCACGACAAACCCATATCAGTCTTGTCCGTCACGATAACGCATGAAGATGACTCGTAAGACATCATCAGTCTACGTCATCCCACACGCCACATACTACTAGCACTCGTAGCCATATTGTTTTACTCCATCACACGGAAATATGCGCAACATGTAAAAGACCATGATATGGATGGACTAGAAGGACGGGGAGAAGGAGTGTAGAGATGATGGTAGTGTAATAGTACATAATATAACACATGGTATATAATATAACACGGTATATAATACAATATATATATATACATATATTATACATTCAGAGAGAGAGAGAGAGAGAGAGAGAGAAATGGTTAAATACCCTGGCAAATAGAGCCAATCGAAAGGGAGATGAGATCTGACAGAGATGCTACCAAGAACGGCAGGAGATGGAGACATGGACTTTTTAAGTAATAGATATAAGCGGTGACCATACCACTTGACGTAAGAAGAGAATATGTATATATAAAAGAAGACCAAGCCAAGAAGAAAGAAGAAAAGAAGTTGGAATAATAGAAAGGAACATGTCCAAGACCCAAACCAGAAAAAAGAAGACGGAAAAAGAAAAAAAGTCAACAGATGAAATAAAGGGGGAGGCCTTTGTAAACGAAACAAGAAAAGAACCAAAAAAGAAAAAGGCCGAGGTTATGCTGTGCGCATGTACAATATACAGTGTATTAAATAAATCAACGGCCCGTCATCTTTTTTCTTTTTTTTGGGGGGGAGAGGTGTGTTTTCTTTGTTTTCTTTGTTTTTGGTTATCCCAGTAATTTCATCTTTTTTTCCCCCATCTTCTCCGTCTCTCTCAATGTTGCGCCGTTCGTAAAACTCATGAGAGCTCCTAGGTGCCCCACCTTTGAAGTTATAAAAGATAACGACAACGACAACAAGAGTCGAGAATCCCGTCTCAAGACTCTCTTTACTTGGCAGCCCCAGCACTCCGTATATATATATATATATATATAACACAAGAGATGAGTGTGAGACCCCAAATCAGGTAGGTATGGCCATTGGGAGCTTTTGGAATGTAAAAATAAAAATAAAATAAAAATTGGAAAAAAATTGAACAAAGAGAGAAAGACTCTAAACACTTAGAGGAGGGCGACGACACCGACGGCGGCGACGATGAGGGCTAGGCTGACACCGGAGGCCGAGGCGGCGCCGGTCGGGGCACCGGTCTCACCGGCGGTGGAGGTAGACTCGGCGTCGGCCGGGACGCCCTCGGAGTTGGTGGGGAGGACGACGGTAGGGGGTACGGTCAGGCTTCCGGTCACGGTGAGGTTGCCGGGCAGAGAGGCGGTGGCGTTGTGGTGGTGGGCGGGCCCGTGGGAGTGCGACGCGGTGGCGGTGGTGGTGTTGACGGACGACACCTCCTTCAGCTTGAGACCGTCGGGGGAGCTGGTGGTGGACGAGGGCGTGGGCGTGGGCGTGGGCGTGGTGGTAGGGGTGGGCGTGGTGGAGGGGGTAGGGGTGGTGCTGGTGCTGGTGCTGGACGAGCTGGTGGTGCTGGTCGAGCTGGTGCTGGTCGAGCTGGAGCTGGTGCTGGTCGAGCTGGCGGTGGAGGAGGGCGTCTCGAGCCCGCCGGCGATGGTGTAGGCGGCAGCGCACTCGGTCAGGTCCATGGCGTCGGGGCAGCACCAGGTGTTGCTCTGGTGGTCGCTGGCGCAGTAGTAGCCGGAGTCGCAGGAGTCTGTTGTTGCGGAGGTCAGAGCGGTATTCCTTCCGATCGGCAGCAGCAGATTGATGTAGATGAGGGAGGGGGGGGAGGAGTAGAGAGAGAGAGAGAGAGGAGGGGGGGGAAGAGAGAACATACTGCCGGTGCCGTCATTGCAGCAGCTCTGGTGAGCGCCCTCGTTGAAGCAGTGAATGGTCGAGTCGGAAGAGGCGCACTCGGCATATCCGGTACCGCAGGCCTCGGCGCAGGTAGCACCGTCGGTGCACTCGGTGATGTCGGGCTGGTAACCCATGGTGTCGCGACGGGCAAGGCTCTGGCCGGGGAGGGCCATGACGGCCAACCTGTAAGGGGCGGGAGCGGGGGCGGGCGTGGCGGCCACGGTGGCGACGCAGGCCATGATGGCGGCCGAGGTGGCAGTACGGAAGAGCATCTTGTCGACTGGCGGTTTCTTCTTCTTCTGAGAGATATGCAATTATATGTGCGTCTTTCGATATATTGGCCGTACCCGCGCGCGCGTGTTTATGATATATATGTCAATATGAGATATTAATCAAGTGAACTTGAAAAAAAGAGTGTGTGAATATAATATATATATGTATAGATATATATATAAACGAATGTCGCGCTGGTGCGGGATATAGAATAATAAACGAGAGTGAGGAGGCACGCAAAAAAGAACGTGAAAAAAAGGGTCAGAGGACGCGCAAATGATGTCGACAAAATGAACGAGATGTCGAAAAGGAGAAGAGAGAGAGAAGAGAGAGAGAAAAAGAGATGAGGAGAATAATATTAGAGGAGGAGGAGGAGGATGGGGGGGGGTTGGGTTTCTCCTGCACCACCGACCTCCGACCTCCGACCTCCGACTTGTAATTACAATCAGAAAATAAGTGACAGGGGGGCATCATGCGCAGGAACACACTGAAGGGGGGGGGGGGAGTGGGGGGACTCGTCCCAGGCACATTTCCGTTAATTTGACGAGTATCTATTGGTACAGTCCATGATTGACTGTTATTACTCTCTCAATGTGTACGGGTACTGAGGTACACAGTTAGCCGTTGCTTTGATTTCCAGGTTTTGAACCCATGTTCAGGCGCTGAGCATCATATCAGCACCTGTACAGATGACAGCAAGAACAACAATGAAGATACTAGATACAAGCAATACACCGTAGCGTGACTCTCTATCCAACCGCCAACCGGGCCTTAGGCGCCGCCCCCAAAACATCCACCTTGAATGCATCTATACCTGCATCTATACCTGTATCTGTGCCTGCATCTGTGCCTGTATCTGTACCTGTAGCTGTACCTGTAGCTGTACCTGTATCCGTACCTGTAGCTGTATCTCCCCTCTCCCCCTCCCCCCTCCCCCGGGTGCCTGACAGGTGGCGGCAAGTGGCGGCAAGATGGCAAGGACCGAGGCAAGCCGACAGCTCCATCCGTAGATTCTTGACTGGTCCAAACTTCCAGGGGGGGCGGAGGGGGGAGGGGCGCTAGTAATGCTGTATTGATACTCCATACATGTACCTGTAACTCAGTCCAAGTAATCCTCCAGCATTATTCACCACCTAATCCGATCAGGAAAGGGGTTAGGGGGGGGACCACCACGCTAAACCACGCTGCCAAACTGGCTAGCAACGGTCGGGTAAATTACGCCGTCGTCGTCGTCGTCGTCGTCGTCTTTGATGGTTCTCTGCTAGTGATAGACGTATGTGTCATACAGATATAGTACGGATAGAGTGCTGTGACTTTGTTACCATCATTACCTGTTCTCTGTACGGTGTGATTATCCTGCTCGTACCGTACCGTACCGCACCGTACAACCTGGCTACTCCGTAGTCGTAGAGGGATGGACCGCCCCAACTGCCGTGATTGGACCCGAATTTTCCAGTTTGTCTAGTAACATCTTTTAGCATCTTTGTATCATCATCTTTCCTGTATGGGTAGATACTCCCCCGTACATACGATACGTGTATGCCAGCACCGCATATTCGTAATCACCTGCTGCTGCCGATGACCTTGGCCGGTGCGCTGTTCCTGCATTCCGTCCCCGTCGCCTCCAACTCAGACTGGCAGCGATGGAGAGAGAGGGGGGGGGGGAGGTGGGTAGGTACCTGTATACTCGTACAGTATATACGTATATACAGAGTACATGTATATATATGATGGCTCTCATCTCATCCTATCGAATCCACCGTGTTATTACCTACAAAAAACTAATCTGTACAGGTAATGACAGATGTAACTCCATATAATCGTCAGAATACCCCCCCAGTCACACACTTCAGCCAGCTCAGTCTAGACTCTTTTCTTCGGGGTCTATTCCACTACTTCTCTTTTTCTTCTTCTTCTACGAGTAATAATATATATATATATATATATATATGTGCATCAATCCGTTCTCCTACATGTATAGTATCACTACGTGTAATCATACTCCGTCACACAAGACTCCCTCCCTACCTTGCTTCTTTTACTTCTTTTAGACTTTTTCTTCTTCTTCTTCTTCTTCTTCTTCTTCTACTACTACTACTACTGCTGCTGCTGCTAACCACCAACTGCAGCATGTCCATCGCTCGATAACATTTCCATCGATACAGGACAATCAGTTAACCTCCCTACTCATACTATCATGTCCCCTCCTCAATTAAGCTCATTTTAGTCCGCCCCGCTCAAGTAACTCATTCCTCCTAATACAGAGACCATGATTATAATTACTCCGTAGGCCGTCCCCGATACCTATCATACATACTCCGTACTGCTGCTACTGCTGCTGCTGCTAATACGACTGCGAGGAGTTAATACCGCTCGGTATAATGTCTTGGGGGGGGGGGGGATTATGTCTCGGTTGTCAGCACACGTGCCTTGTCCCCCGGTACTTGATCTTGACTCCAAACTGAACCTCATCAATCAATCAGTCTAGTCAGTCTACGACTATTACTCGTACGTACTATTTACCATTTATTTAATGTATATCGATATATATATGTATACTCCGTACATATCATGAAATATACCTGAACTGGGATACACCTCCTCCCCCTCCTCCCCTAGAGGCTGGACATGACCATGATCATGACCATAGATCCTGATGACCAACTCTCATGTTAAACTCCAAACCCCTCCCCCTGAAAGTATCCTACGACCATGTCTTGACCTGGCCTGGTGGGACACCTGAGCTGATATCGGCTAGCTCCCCAATGATGCTTAACCCCCCCCCCCCCCCCCCCCTAATCACCACTTCCACACTTCAAATTGGTCAAGTGTACTCCGTACTTGTACATTCACCCATCACTATTACCGTACTACTAAGCTAACCCTACAGTATATTGCTCATAATTCCCATAGAAACAAATGTCAAGCATACACCACAATCCTCCTTCAATTTACCGTGGCCCCATACCATCAAGATACAAGAGAGAGAAACATGACCTCCTCTGCCGGACACGATATGAAATAGAAGAAAGAAAAAGTTGGGGGGGAAACCCTCCAGAAGGAAGTACAGAAAAGAAATATAAAGAGAAGAAGAAGAACAGAAAAGAAATAAAAGATTAAAGATATTCCAAAAAAAAAAAAGGGGGGATGGAAAAGAATAATAGTAAAAACATCCAGCATTTTGCTACTCGTACAGTTTGCTCCCCCCCCCCTCCCCCTCCGTCTTCGTATATATGTAGTGATACAGATGATATGTCGCTTCTTCTTCTCCTTCTCCTAATCACCATCATCATTTCCCATCTTAGAGATCCACTTGTTCATTCCCGAATACTTCTCCTCAAACGTCTTTTGAAGCTTCTCCCCCGCAAGCCACATCGGGTCGCCCTTGTTCCAGTAGAGGAAGCAGTTCTCGAAAATCTGACGCATGTCGCTCAGGAACTCTTCGTCGTCGCGGTACTCGGCTCGGTCCATTTTGCCCTTGATCGTGCTAAGGTCCATCGGTTTCTTGACCTTGTCAAAGTAATCCGGTACGCCGTCCTCCTTGGGCACTACCGGCTCCTTGAAGGGGCCCACGAGGCGTGTCCAGAAGCCTGTATACGTTTCACGTCAGCAAGCCATCTCACCAATCTACCCGTAGGATGTTCCAAAGCCAGGGGGGGGGGAGCTGGCTGTGAAGGATGGCGTGTAGAGATGTGCAGCGTGCCATCTGTCACAGGCACTCACCTGGTCCCGAGAGCATACGCGTCAAGAGGTCTGCGCAGAAGTCAAGTTTCTGTCCCGTAGAAAAGGCCCTGCCATCTAGGAATTGACCGCTCGTCCGCCGCTTTTGCGTCTTAGGCAGTGGCGCACGCTGCTGCCTCTTTCCGCCGACGGAGGCGGCCCGCTGGTCCTGCAGGCTGCTGCTGCTGCTGCTGCTGCTGTTGCTGGCGCCGGCGCCGGCGCCGGCGCTGGGGGTGACGATGCCGCCGGTCGAGTGTCTGCTCCTCTTGCTGCTGCTTCCCAGCGTCTCCTCGTCGCTCGGTGTATCGAGGTAGTGGACATTCTTCTTGGCGCTGCCGCCGGGAGTGGCGCCGGGCAGCGGGTCCCGTTGGGGGGCATCGGTCTCGTTCGCCTCCTCCCGCTCGTACTCGTCCTCGGCGGGCTCCTCAAACGAGCTCATCTTGACGACAAGCTCGCTGAGGACCTCCTGCGGCAGCGACTTGGCAAACTCTGCCCGGGAGACTGACGATCTCATATACTCGGCCGCCCACGACAGGAGAAGCTGGCGGAGGGCTGATCCCTCGGGCGTGTCCTTCCAGACCTGGATGAGGAGCGGTGTCGATGGGATGCGCTTCGTGACCCGACGGCAATCCTTCATGGCCGTGAGCGTCTTCTCGCAGAGGCCGTCAATCTTCAGCTTGTGACCCAGCTTCCACAGATCGACGAGTGCCTCGTATGCCGGGGGCTCCTGCCGAGGACCGGATTCGGAGTCGGTCCCGACCTTTCCCGTGAACATGTAGTTTTGCGCGAGGCCGAAGACGTCGGTGGGGGTCTCGGGCAGCTTGACGACGTGCTCGACTGCATCCTGTGTCTTGTCGGCAAAGTATTCCTTGAAGTAGGGCGAGCGATGGCAGAGGAAGTCCTTCTGAATACCAAACGGCTGCTCGTCAGGTCCAGCAAGAATGATGACAAAGATCGGATGAGGGTTCCTAGGGAAAGGATGGCGCTCGCTGTCAGCACAACTCTCATGCTCTCCGGGGTGTGAACGTGGGTGTGAGTCCACCGCGCCTTCTGCTGCTGTGTATCGGCCATGCTCGCGTTGGGAACAACTCACAGCCATGAAAAGGGTTCATCCTCGTGGCCGTTCCGCTTAGATGCAGGGCTATCTCTGGTCTGAGCCTGAGCCTGAGCCTGAGCCTGAGCCTGAGTCTGAGCCTGAGAAGAAGCGAGAGCAGAAGCAGATGAAGCTTCTGTTCTAGCTGCAGGTGCAGTTGTTGAGGGGGCCGACGTCGGCGGTGCCGACATGATGACCTGTTTTCCAAGGCGGGAGTCCAAGTTAGAGTTTCGTGATATCAGCTCGTCGTTGTCGGGTAGTTAGGTGAGTTGAGGTGAGAGGAGAGGTGGGAAGAAGGAGGAGACCAGAGAGGGGAAGGAGAAGAGCAGGGAAGATTATTTCAGAAGCCAAGTGAGTCTTCGCCATCCATTGGCCATTGTGTCACGTTGGGGAGGGGGGAGGGGGGAGGGGAGCAGGCAGGTGCCGTCACAAGATAGATACAACTGTCACATTTCCATGAACAGTTCCAACCACCGGGTCAGTGGCAGTGAGTTATGGGTTGGGTGAAAGGACTGGCCTGGATGGACGGAGGGATTATGATGAGATGACGATGTGATGTGCCTTACCTCGGACGATGAGTCCCAGACAGTCACTCCCTAGCAGTGACGGTGTGACTTTTTTTTTGGGGGGGGAGGGAAGGGAAGGAAAGCCCTTGTCTGATTTCAGTCAGGACGTCTCGTCCTCTTCCTTCAATAGAAATGTCCCCAATCCTCCGACGGTCTCCAAAGGTAACGTCTAAATGAGATCTTGTGGTCGGGATGACGGCGGCGGTGAAAATTGATGGCTTCTCTTTGATAGAAATGGGTTGATGGGATGATTTGGGACGCCGGAGAATGGGACAGTCATGGACCGGCTTTGTCTCTGATTGGTCAGCTGTAGGATGTCATTCTGTGTTCTTTTTTTTTTCGACTACCCTGAAGGGATGGAGGTGAAGCTGACATGGTATCATTATGATGGATATCATCAATTACAGTCGGTCTCTTCTATCCATCAGTGAGCTTACTCTTCACGCTGTTTCTTCTCTCTTTGGAGTTGTTGGAAATGACTTGGAAGAGGCAATCATGGATACCGTCATGAGGGGGTCATGGTGTAGCACGTATGCCCTGCACACGGCGCGACGGAAGGAAAAAAAAAAAAAGGCATGTTTTGGTGTGAGAGACGAAAATGGAGAGTATTACAATCATTCATCTTGAGTAAGGGTATGATTTATTATTATTTTTATCTTTGGAAATTTCTTACAAGAAAAACACCAAAAATCGATAAGACTAGGGTATACATCTCATTACTGCGAATTATTGCATACAGTACTGGGGTGGAGAGTTCATAATGTCAACACATGCTGTCTACACGCGCACACACACACGTAGAAGGATGAGGACGTATCAAGTGAGAATATCAGGCTAGCACAAGCAGTAACAACAATGACTGTAACACTTGGGTAAACACGCACTCATAGATCAGCCTAGACCTTTTGAAATCACCACAGTTCTGCCAAGATCCAGGTAAGCATCACGGTTCAAGCACCGAGCGAAAGAGCACGGGAGTGATGGCCCTCTTCCAGATACCCCCCTTATATCCTCGGTGTATGACTTACCCTACAGCTGTACCCTCAACCCTTTCCGAGACCAGCATCGATATATCAAAGTCCCAATCCAAGCAAAGCAACGAATAGCAACTACATCCAATGCATGGGGCCGGGTAGGGAATAAGCTTCATGATACAATCACACCCGAGAATCAAACAATCTACATTTGTCGCATGTTATCAGCAGCAACCGGCTAAGCCAAAGTGTGCATGTCATCGACCACGGGTCGAGAAGTCAAAGATGAACTATCTCGGCCGGAGCAAAGGAGTTCCACTCTGTATCTCTACCTCTCTCTATCTCTCTCTCTCTCGGACCACCACCACCACCACCACATGGTTTTCGGAAATATTAGGCACGCGGGGAGAGTTGTCTAGCAAGTCAAAAAAAAAAGAAGAAAAATAAAGAGAAAAGGGCTTACAATGCCGCAGCACGTACAATGTTACGATCCTTTCCAGGATCGGTGACATATATCATGTCTCTTTTTACACAGCTTATGCGATATCATGTTTTTTTTTTTCAACAAAAAAAAAGCAACGAGCCCCAACTGACATGTGAAAGTCATGGTGGTAAGAGATCTAGAACATGACATCGGGGAAAAACGCTGGCTATTGCGAATGTCTCTAGGAGCATGGAAGAAGATACAAAAAAAAAAATTACTTTGTACACGGTAAAGTTTCAACGGTCAAGAGGAAAAATAAGAATAAAAATAAAAATCAAACCACCTGGTGAAGGGTCCTGGCCAACAAGGTAATACATACTATTACTATGAGTACAGATGTGCCATTACCACTTCTCCAAGTTTCTCGTACGAGACTGCTCTGCCTTTTACGTGATTCCCTCGTACGAGAGAGTAGTCACACTGGTCGCTCACGGCGGCTACAACTTATCCTGATGCTGAACAGAAAAAAACTTGATGAGATGGTCCGATGGGGGGGGGGTGTGTGAATAGTGTTCACGTATCTATCGTCCCCGCCGCGCCCCCAGGTTTACGACTCGGCCGGGGGGGGGAAATATTCAGACCACAAGGGGCGGGGCCCTGGAGCTTTCCCGGAGTAATAGGGGGTTGGGGGTTTATTACTCCGTACTCCGTATAGTATTTACCTGTACGTACAGGTTGTATTAGACTGATAGTAGCAAAGCATGTGTGGGACTGCCGGATACAACCGGATGCGGCTGATATCATTATTTCCCTTGGGTCTGGGGTTGACCCTCGACGCACCGAAGGAGTGATGATTGCCTTTTCGTCACTCATATACCTCACCCTGCAAATTATAAGAAGAAGGAGAAGAAAGTGTTGATGTCGTCCATGTCGTTTTTGTGGTTGATAGGTTTTGATGAAGAAAGGAGAGGAAAGCAAAAAAAAATATTCAGCAACCAAAGATGAAGTATAAAATATACATAACTAAATAGAAAGAGAAAAGAAAAAAAAGATAAAAGACCATCATACTCTTTCATGGACAGTTCGACAAATGGGAGGGAGGGCAGGACAAGGGGGCGTGTAGAACCTCATACACACACACACACACACACGTGCACACAACAGTTACACCGAAGTGAAGAAGTGAAGAAGAAAAAGGGCAACTGCTAGATCCCCGGCATTGGGCCGATTCCAGTGGAGTAAATGAAAACTTACCGGCACGAGCAGCCGAAAGCAAAATGCCAGGAGAGGTTTGTGGCATCGACATTGGCACTATAAAATTGTATGGGGTTTCTCTCTCTCTCTCTCTTTTTTTTTTTTTTTTGTATTTCTTTTTCTCTATAGGCGCGGCACGCGCTCGCTCTTAGATGGTAAAAAGGTCCCACTTCTTTTTGCGTCGTAATAGTCTATGGGAAAAAAAAGGTTTTTTTTTTTTGGCGGTCCCCCCCCCTCCCCTCCCCCCCCCTTTTTGGTGCGGGAGCCGCAATTCGGTGCTTTGCCGGCGACATGGGAAAAAAAAAAAAGGGTGAGTGCGCGTTATTACCCTCCAGAGGTTGAGAATGAACGGAAACAAGTATTCCCCATGGACCAATCAGCATGGCAATCATCCCTCAATTTCTTGGCTTCTTGTATAATTCTGTAAGTAGGCCCTAGGGTGAAGAGAAAAAAAAAAAAGACCAAGAAAAAGAAAGAAGAAAAAAAAAGATTCTCTTTTGTGCGGCTCAAGATATATACGCCTTGTCGCATATACTCCATAATGCGGCTCAAGTTGGATCATGCGGCTTTCCCTCTCCATCCCTCCATCTCTCCATCTGTCAGCTCCTTGGGGGTGTGGTATTATCCTCATTCATTCGTTCCTTCCTCCACTTCCTCCTCATCCCCCTCATCCTCGACATCGCTACTTTGCCCAACCTCCTTGCCGAGGAGGATATCCTCACTTCCTTGCCATTGTGGGGGTGGGGGAGGCAGAGATGACTCGTCCTCCTCGGCCCACCCGTAGTCTTCGTCATCTTCACTGTCCGGCACCTCGAAGCCGGTTTGGGCTAGTTTCCTCTTCTTTTGTTGCTGCCGTGGCACAGGTGTCGCTGCCATGACGGATATAGTGCTGGCATTCGTGAGAGCAGCATCGTCCTCGTCCACTCGGTGATAAGGTACGCTAGCTATGCCGTCCTGTGGGTTTTATTTTCTTCCCCCCTCGGGAGAGAGGATGGAGACGATTAGAAAATCATCTACGCAGCCCGAAAACCACGTTCCAGGGTCCAACTTACACCATCAATTCTGAACGCGGAGACATGCTCGACACCCTCGTGCGTATGTCTCCCATCAAGCTTCTGCACGCCTGCCAGGAAAACGGGCGCGTACCTGCTGCCGCTGCCGCTGCCGCTGCCGCTGCCGCCACCCACCCAGTCCCGGAAGAGTACCAGTCGGGTCGAAACCCCCTGTTCCCACAGCGTAGCATTCACGGCAGGAGTGAGAGTCGCCCCTCTGCCCGACGGCAGCATCTGCGTAGCGCATTGGGAGAGGACGACGACGGCGCAGTTGCGCGTAGAGGCAAGCGTCTGCAGCGACTTGATGATGGACTGCAGTACCTGTTTTCTCTTGACAGAAGGGTCCGGACCTGTAGGTACCCACAAGTGTTAGTTCAGCCTTGTATCTTCTTTCTCTTTCTCTCCCCATCTCTCTGTCTTGTCTCCCACACCCTCTCTCTCTCACGCACTCCCCTTCCAACCCTGCTTTTTCCCCTTTCATTCTCCTTCATCTGCCGGTTGACTTGGTTGGTCGATACGTACCTCTATTCGACCCAGCACCCGGCTTGACATTCTGGGATCTCGGTAGTGCCGAGTTTATCAGAGCCGTAGCAGAGTCGATGATGATCAAGCCAACATCGCCCGGTATGTTCCTAGACGTCGGGCGGGAAATCAGGGCAATCAGGTGTGCCAGCGTCAGACATTCGTACTGTGCAAACCTTGACAGATGGACGCTGCTGTCGTTGTCGTGATCGTCTTGGGCCTTGCCATCATCGTCCTTTTCTTCTTCCCCGTTGCGGCGAGCCAATCTCACGGCTTCCAACGTCTCGATGACGCGAGCGCTGGGAACGGCCTGGAAACAGTCTATATATGCCAGAATAATCAGAATATATACATGGACCGGGACGTATATATATAAGAATCGTACCATGCATCAGAACGGGACAGCGTAGAATCTTGTGGGATGGAGGGGGGGAGGGGGTCAGAACGAACCTATCCAGACGACGCTACCACCATCACATATAGCATTGGCAGACAGTTGGATACTTTGCTCTCCATAAACGCAGTTAGCAGAGCTACTTTTCTATCGATTTCTTGTTTTCTTTTTTTCAAAAAAGAAAAGAAAAAAAAAAGAGATATTGACCAACCCCAGAGCCGTCTTTCCTGTGCCAGGAGGTCCCCAAACCTCGGTAACTTGACCGCGCTTGACGCCGCCAGCAGCAGGTCGAGGGATCGAGTCGTTACCACCACCAATGCCACTGTGGTATCCGGCCGCGGCAGAGGCCAGGGCCTTGTCAAGGTCATCTAGACCTGTGGCGATGTGAAGCGAGGCATCATTTTCCAATTCGTCGTCCAGTGCTGCCGATGCCGTCACGGTAGGTAGACGGTCTTGATTTCATACGAAATTAACCATCAGATTTCTCTCCTTCTTCTGCTTCTTCTTCCTCTCCATCTCTTCTTCTTGGTTCTGCCGTCGTCGACAAAACTCTGATCCATCGAAGTTGAACTCACGGGAACTTGGAATGTCGAAACTGGCAACGTCATGGCCGTGGACAGAGTGATAGTCCATGGTCCATTCTTTCTCTCTCTCTCCTTTACTTTATTTTAGATCATGATCCGTCGATAACTCTTGGTCTTCTTTCTTGAATTCTCCTTCGATCAACGTCTCTTTCGAGGTGGGGTTCTGGGTTTTTTGGAAGAAGGAGGGGCGTGTACGTGTGTCTCTTGTGTTGTGTGCCTGGGATCGGGAGCGTTCGACACGGTGACACGTGACCTCGCGCCTTACGCCTCCAGCCTAGATTGTTCCATGTATGGCAATGGCTCAGACTTCAAATATTCACTATGTTGACTTTGACCGATCAAAGTTTTTGTCATGCTGCATTTCTTCTTTTTTTTTCTGCTGCCCTCGGTGTATCTCTAGATCACATCATTCGCGGATCCGCAAATGTGCCACGCATTGATGAGAGTTTGGGAACTTCTATGATGATGCATCAGAGATTCATAGTACATGATAATGTTCGACGTTATGAAACCTCAACTCAAAAGCTGGCCATTGCACCAGCCCAACGTTGAGCTTAGCTAAAATAATAGTATTATCTGTATTCTATGGTCCCAGAAGAGCGTCTACCTAGGTTAGGCAGCCAAAAAAAGGATGGCCTTGAGCAATATTTTTTTTTGGGTTGTGTACCCGTAGTAAAGAGTCCCGAGGTCAGCAGCCAGGAAAGAAAAGATGGGGTCATGTAAGTGATTGTCTCCTGCCATGGTCTGCTGGACCCTCCAGAGGAGTCGAAAAAGATTAGTCGAGCTCGAGTGGAGTTACATGTCCAGATAGAGGACGCAAGATGAAAAGGGCGCGTGATCACTTGGGCAGCGTCTTTCGCACAAACGTCCGGGGGTTTGTGAATTCTTGCGTGGGCGCGTATGGTGTATACGACTCGAATGTGATTGCGTGAAAGCGTGTGTGATACCTCTGTCTCTCTACCTCTCTCCCTCCCACGGTGAATGACAAGGTAAGAGAGTAATATCATTCCGACAAGATGTTTTCTCCAGACCAGACACGCACCGTTCATGCTACGACCCTGTACGAGACATTCGAGACTGCAAAGAAGAAGAAAGACAGTCGAGGCAGATAATACTACAAAGAGCAAGAAGATAACATTTACCGGTAGATTCTAAATCCCGAGGTCTATCAACCGGACCAGCGGATCTTCCTCACGGGTATCTCTCTGTGCTCGACGCTCGTACGAGCACTTTCTTGGTATTAATCATACAGACACGAGAGAGACCACATCCCTTTCATCTAAGAGTCAAAACCCTAGCAGATCATTACTCTTACAAGTTGCTGGGGGGAGGGGGGTTGGGTTACCAAGTAAGATTGACGATGGGCTGTCGGCATTTGATGAGCAACCTTGCGATGCGAAGTATTACAATGAGAGGAGGGGGGCAGGTAAAACTGTCAGACGATAAGTTGGAATGAAAGCTCTGCCAATCCATCACCTGTGGGGGTGCCGTACGCAAATCCCGACATCGGTTTCCCCAGGCGAAGAGGGTTTACCTTTCGGGACAAGATCATCGTGCGGCGGCCGTTCTCTCTCTGTCTCTGTCTCTCTCTCTTTATTTATTATTTAATAATTAATATATATATATATATATATATTTTGGCACACAGCCACCCCCCTCCACATCCTCTGGTAGGCTGTGAATCTCTCTTGCGGGTTAGTGGGAAGAATCGGGATCACAAGCAAAAGATGGACCGGGAAAAGTCGGATCCGTTCTTATGGGGAGCCCTCTCTACCTTGGGAAATATTACCAGTACGAGTATATACACAATACTGGAGAGAGTGACAGCCTGGATAACTTCCACTCTCAGAGATAAAAAAATATATTAGTGCTTCCCCGCTTAGAGGTGGGTATTCTGCGGGGAGGAACGAATTTTTCTCCTCTGCACTCTACGTTGCGGGAATACTACTGTGTTTGTACGGGCGTGCGTATGTGTCGTACGACTGCCATTATCAGCTAAGGAGGGGGGGGGGTTTGATCAAGGATCAAGTTGCATGAGACAGTTTCCCATCTTCCCTTCCCTCCCTCTCTCTCTCTCTCTCTCTCTTCTTGACCAGCTGCGGGTCCGACGTAACGCCAGGAAAGTAACCGGGCAAAGGGGAAGGACCTTTGTTACTATTACTCCGTATATGTAAGGGAAACTTCATTTGCACGTATCATACATCTTGTAGGTAAGAGAAATGCTGCTTGTGAGTATTAATACAAGTAATTTCAATGTGTGCACTGAGCGGAAATACCATTCGGGAAGACCTCGGTCTTGAAAAAAAAAAAAAAGTCATTTTTAGAGCCGCATGCCCCCAAACCCCGGGCAAGCATCCCGGGATACGGTGCCGTGGGCGATGAAGAAGAGAAGTATGAGGCTCAACAAAGAGGGCGGGGATGGATGAGAAGGGGGGGGGGGGGGCCCTGCGTGCGTCAATTTAGTACGAGGGAGAGGAGGGAACAGTATTATTACTCCGTACATTCACTCGTAGGTCTGGTACGGGTTACCGGTAGTAGAGACCATGCCGGTTATTGCTTGAAATCAACATGGAGTTAATACATATAATATATCTACACGAGTATTCATACTATACAAAACTCATTTCAGGCGACCGCCTGTCCACAGTTAACAAACTACATGATGCTGTTTTGCCAAGCCATGTCGTGAGACCATGTCGCGAGATGGGTACTTGGCTTGGCAGAGAGGTGGATGCGTAATGTGCTTCTGTGGTTTTGTTTTTGTTGCTTCTTCTCCGGAACTATTGACGAGTTAGTAGTACGAGCATGTAAGACTAAGTCTAGAAGAGCAAAAGACTTGTACGAGTATCCATCATCATTAACCCATCTAATCGTACTCGTAAAGGTCTAGAATTCGCAACACGATATTACGACTAGAGGGGGAAGGAGGGGGGGGGGGGGGTAAGCAGACTACGATTTAGTACTGTACGTCGTTGATCGTAAACTTAGGTGCCAGGTACAAGACCAAAGTATGGAGTAAAATCTGAGATTACCACCCTGCATATGTCACAGTTGTCAAGAATCCGGTTTTCGTAGCATACGGATATTACACCGCCATCTACTTCGTAGCTTTTGACGTATAATACATGTAGTCATGTAGTTGTCGAGGAACTGGCAAGAGGAAGAGGAAGAGGAAGAGAAGTGGGAGGAGGGCTTTTTTTTTTTTTTTTACTCCGTATTATCACGCGCTTCTCCATACTCCAGGTCCTCGGGAGGAGGAAAAAAAACCCTCAAGGTGCATTCGCCACTACAGACCATTATACTCTTGTTTTCCCGTATGACAACAAAAGCCTCGGTATTTTAAAATAGAGCCTCTTTTCCCTTCTCTCTTTTTCTTCTTTTTCTTCTTCTCATTTGTGAGTAGCCTACCCCGTACCAATGGAAAAAAAGCAAAGGCCATAATCAGACTACGCAGTAATCTGTACTCGTACAGGTAATAAGTCGGCTGGGGCGGGTAGGCATTAATATCCGTTCAAGCCCGGGGTCATCAGGAGCCTCATTTCTCGACTGCGGGGGGGAAGGGGG